TAACTATTGGATGGCTTGGGTTTGCCCCACAAGTAGTGACGCCAAGCCTATATTTGACATGAATTTCATACTTCTTATTTATATGACACTCTCAGTTATTGGTTCATTGTGTGTTTTGCTGCGAGCCATGATGGTGTTAAATGCTGGACTTTGGACAGCACAGACACTTTTCACAAAGATGCTGCATAGCGTGATCCGTGCCCCCATGGCATTTTTTGATTCTACCCCAGCTGGAAGAATCTTGAATAGGGTAAGCATTCATAACAATTATATTTATGCTTATTATTACTGGCTAATGTTTTGCATAATAGAGTGCCAAACAAGTACTGTACAATTTCATCCTTGGCTATCTTATTGTGTACTGTTTTGTACTTCAAAAATTGGAAGTCTCTCTGGATCTTCTTTGAAGTGTTGATTTTTTCAATCACTCCCACAATTGAAAATTTTTATTTCAGGCTTCCACAGATCAAAGTGTGCTCGACTTAGAAATGGCAAACAAAATAGGATGGTGTGCTTTCTCAATAATACAGATTCTAGGAACTATTGCAGTGATGTGTCAGGTGGCATGGCAAGTATTTGTCATCTTCATCCCAGTAACTGCAGTCTGCATATGGTATCAAGTATGTGATCCTTTTTCCTTCTTGATCTATCTATGAAAGTTAAAAGAAAAAGTGAGACACATTCATAGTTTCAAAATTTATACAAGATATGATATGATTTCTCAAGCTTATCATGTAAACAAGGAAAGTCATATCAGTCAGTAATATAAAAATTATAACAAAGTTAATATATAATGTAAATCTAACATTTTAAACAGAATAAGGAAGTGATGGTACTCACCTTAAACTAAATAGACAGAAAATGACTATGAATTTAGTCTCTTTTTTCTCACTGTCTAATCCTAACAGAAGTTGAATCATCATTATTTCAGAGATATTATAACCCTACAGCTAGAGAACTGGCTCGCTTAGCACAGATACAGATCACTCCAATTCTCCACCATTTTTCAGAATCTTTAGCAGGAGCAGCGTCCATACGAGCTTTCGATCAAGAAGGCCGTTTCATATACACAAATCTTATCCTTGTGGATGGCTTCTCAAGGCCATGGTTTCATAATGTGTCTGCAATGGAATGGCTTTCTTTCAGATTGAATTTACTTTCAAATTTTGTTTTCGCCTTCTCACTGGTCATGCTAGTGAGCCTCCCTGAAGGAATAATCAATCCAAGTAAGTACCAAGTTTTAGTTGGAAACTTAGCATCATCAATCACAACACAAGAATCCAAGCTGTATTGAAACATACAAAGTGATCATAAGATAAAGCACCTTTCATAAATTAAGCAGTACATTTTTCTGCATTGGATTTGTTACAGGTATTGCCGGTTTGGCAGTAACATATGGGATCAATCTGAATGTGCTGCAAGCTTCAGTTATATGGAACATATGCAATGCAGAAAACAAGATGATATCAGTTGAAAGAATTCTTCAGTACACAAATATAACAAGTGAAGCACCTCTTGTGATTGAAGACAACAGACCACCAAGCAACTGGCCCGAAACTGGAACAATATGTTTCAAAAATTTACAGGTTAGATAGCAAAAATTTAGGACATATGAACATACATGCTACTACTATGTGTATGCTAACACATATAAGGAATATGTTAATATATGTATAAGCATACCCATAAGTAACATAAGAGTTTAATTTCTATTCACTGTCTTTGTAAAAAGTTTTACACTACAACTGACCAAAGATCATAAGAGATATGTTATTATATGAATAAACAAATATGCATACAATAACATGAGTTTAAGTTTTATGTATTGTCTGCAAAAGTTTTTACAATATTCAATCAATCATAAACTATTATAGATATAACTTTTAAGATAACTAATGGAACTGTAAGCAAAGTTACAATACCTGACAATTTCAGATTGAATGATAGTGCAAAAGGCCTATAGATGCATGGACTATTTTCTCAAAATGTTTTTACTTATATTCTACTATTCAATAAAATGTGTGACAGATACGTTATGCTGAACATCTACCATCTGTGTTGAAAAACATCACTTGCACATTTCCTGGGAGGAAGAAGGTTGGTGTTGTAGGGCGTACCGGGAGTGGAAAATCAACTCTCATACAGGCCATTTTCAGGATTGTTGAACCAAGAGAAGGAAGCATTATAATTGACAATGTGGACATATGCAAGATAGGTCTCCATGACTTAAGGTCAAGGCTTAGTATTATCCCACAAGACCCTGCCTTGTTTGAAGGCACTGTTAGAGGAAACCTAGACCCTCTTCAGCATTACTCTGACATTGAAGTGTGGGAGGTAAATAGTTTGGATGGATGCAAATTTACCATAAAAAATATCAACTCATCAAGTAGTAACTAGAAAAAATATTCTGTGATTGCATACAATACAATTTCAAATAAAAAAGATTATCTCTCGCAAGACATAAAAGATTAGGCTAAAATAAAGATTGGGTCTCACTTAATATTATTTTTTGTTTTAGTCCCCATTCTAGAAAATACTACATTTTATTTTAGTCCAACATGAGTATACATTTACAAATCAGTTTCATCATTTGCCTAAGTAAGAGAGAAATGTTAAAATCACACTCTCAAGCACTTCGTTTAAACACATTTCTTATTATTCACTGAAAATCATAGATTTGTGTAGGCCTCAATTTTTATTTAATTAAGATTTTGTAGTTTTCAGTAATCTTTGATCAATATTAAGTGTTAAAAGAGTGTATTTCTGGTACTCCTCAAGCTAAAAGATATGTTGTAGACGCTAAAAAGTTATATTCTTTTCGCATAAGGCCAAAATAAAGTGTTAATATTTTTCACAATGATTATCATCATTTACCAGGACTTTTTTCATTTGCAGGCTCTAGACAAATGTCAACTAGGCCACCTAGTGAGGGCCAAGGAAGAGAAGTTGGATTCCCCAGGTTGAATTCATCATCTTTGAACTTATAGTTTGATCATGCTTCTGGCACTAGTAATCATTTCAAAACTGACTTGAATGCTTTTTCGCAGTGGTTGAAAATGGTGATAACTGGAGTGTGGGCCAAAGGCAATTATTTTGCCTTGGAAGAGCCCTGCTGAAAAGAAGCAGCATACTAGTACTAGATGAAGCAACAGCCTCTGTGGATTCTGCAACTGATGGAGTGTTACAGAACATCATAAGTCAAGAGTTCAAAGATAGAACTGTTATCACAATAGCTCATAGAATCCACACAGTTATTGACAGCGATTTGGTTTTGGTACTCAGTGATGGTATGCTTTTATATCTGTCAATACATAGATTTTACATAGAAGTTTTTTCATATAATTTCTCTAAACTCTTATTCTTAACTTGTGCATAAACTAGTTTTATCTTATGGGAAAGTTCATTTCTTATTGTTTTCTCTTAAAAGTACTCATGGAGAACTTTGTTCAAACTACACACAGTAACAAAAAACCAAGGATAATACCACTATTATGTTACAGATAGTTGCTTAATACAGCAATCTTATGTTACAGGGAGAATTGCTGAGTATGATGAACCATCAAGGTTACTTGAGAGAGAAGATTCCTTCTTCTATAAACTCATAAAGGAGTATTCTGGAAGATCACATAGCTTCAACAGCTTGGCAACTCAACATGTCCAAAGCAGGGAACAATTATAAGACATGATGGATATTAAGATATTGGAGAAGATAAATCAACCAAGGATATACATATAAAGGGGTTCCTTGCCTCATGTGAGATATCATAGCACTGTTGTGGTCCTTATCCACATCAAGAAAGGGAAATCTTCAGGTGGCTGTTCATTGGATATATAATGGTGAGGCTCAAGCACCAGTTTTGAGTATGAAAGGGTAAGGTAGGAGAGAAGATAAAGACCATCTACAAATCCAGAATGAATCATCAGATCATGAGATGGAAAATAGGGATGTTTAGCATGTGTTAGTTCATTTGTATTTAGTTACCACTAGTTTTCTGCTAAGAAAGTATTGGCCTTGGCCATAGTGTACTATGGTATTAAAATTTTATCGCTGGATTTGGAATTTGGGTTATCTAAATTAATTAAAGTACACAATTGTGAGTAACTCTTATCATATTAGTAAAATATAGAATGGAGTCTCAAGTTGAGTGGATACATTTTAAGATGATATTAGAATTTATCTTAATAATTAGTTCATTTCTTATTGAATCTTTAAGTGTTTCAAGTGACAATTTTAAATTCACATCCTTTTGTAGAAAAGTTATTTCCACATCTTAAAACATCTTTAACAGAAACTGTTGATTTAAATGATTAAGTAAATACTATTTGATTAAAATATTTTATTGAAGGAATTTTAGATGGTAAGGTAAGTTATTTGAAAATTTTTACCACTTCTTTCACCAAATAACTTATAAATAAAAAGGAAAGAAAATGAGGGAAAAAAAGGAATTGTAGACTTTTTTAGTCTCTAACCCAAATTCTAAGAAAAAAAATACAATTTTTGGAGGTTGATCTTCTTGTTTTTTACATATGCATTTTAATTTAGATTTAATTATTTAATTGGTCTTTATAATTAAATAATGCTCATTTTAAAATATCAAGAATAATATGTATAGGGAGTAAAAAAGAAATATTAAAATAACTTTTATGGAGATTAAGTAAAACAAATTTGAGGTCGTTTACTTCATTTTTTTTGGCCTGTTTGCTAGTAAAAACAAAGTAGGGAAATTTTGTCAATTTTTGGTGTGAATGAATACTATGACAATTTAAAAATAGAAAAAATTTGTAATTCAAAACCATGATAATTATATGTTGTTGATTAAGATAGTGAGGGAAGAAATTCACTTATTTCTTATAATTAAAGAACAAAATTTACTTATTTGAAATATGGAGACTATTGACCCAAAAAAATGTAAGGATTAAAAAGCGCTTTTTTCTTTTTTCAAAGCAGAAAATCATTGCCCAGTCCTCGAACTTCCTTCCGTACAACAAAATCCATTACATTATGGATTCCCTACGTTGTTCAACATAAACATAATACACACAAATATTGCTATTGCCCAACACAGTCCTACAACACAAAGGAAAATCCAACCCTTGCTTCTCTCAGAAACAAGCTTTTTCTGCTGCACGTTGAGAACTTCGTTTCTTGTCACTTCTAGTTGTTGCTTTGACTCATCCCCACTTTCCTCGTCTACGTCCTCGTCTACATTATCTACCCATTTAAAAAATTTGCTCGAGTTGGGTTTCTACAAAGTCAGAAACAATTTCAATTATTTTTAATAGAAATTCTACAAACAAAAAACAAACATATTGGTCATGTAAATTAAAATAAGAAACATAACCCAAAATTCCAATTAGGGTTTTTCTTCAAAAGCTTCTTCCATGTTTTTCCTAGTGTAAATCATGGGATGAAAATGCCATGATTGAAGTTGATGTACAAGTAGGCCCCCTTGTGTGATGAACACTGACACCTTCACTTCCATCACGATGTCGTGCCTTCATGAATCCTTTGTTTTGGTTAATTAGGATTTGAAAAGAATAAATAAGAAGTTTGCCTCTAAATAAACATGCGTATATTCCAATATATGACATGTTGAGTTGTACGATGTTAGCCATATAAGCAAAGATTTACGACATCATTTATTTATGAAAGAACTGGAGGTAACGATATCCAAATTACCGGAACTAAAAAACACTTTAAGCTTTAATTTAAGGAAAAAGAAACTCAATCCAAAGATGAGAAATAAAAAAGGCATTTGAACGGACAATTATATTTATTAATTAACTATTCCACCAAAATAAAGTATTTAACAGTTAACGTTTACAATTTCCTAAGCAACTGTATAGAGATTGCATTCCCTTCACAGAAAAGAACAAAACAACAATAATTGTACAGTTCACCAAGTTCTGAAAAACAATTGAGTATCAGCATGTCTGTCCTTTTGACGGGAAACGATGAAACAAGGGGTCGACATAAAAAATTTCCCTTTGAATAATCAGGATCACTTTAATATTTTTGCATTATTAGATTGCATTAAAAAAAACAATTAAATAAAGTTCCTTTTTTTTCCCCAGTAACTAAGATTAAAAATTGTCCAACATAAAACCAATTGGTAATATATGGAGTAGCTTAACATATATTTAAATCATACCAAATAACATAAGATAGAGATAGGCGATGTAAGACTTTCAACACGCCCCATCCAATGAAGTCTGCCAGACCAGACAAAGGGTACTTTTGACCCAACTAAGAAAGATGTTAGGTTTTGGCTCTGATACTATGTTAAGGTACCAACGTAAAACTAATTGACAATATATGGAGTAACTTAACATGTATTTAAATCATACTAAATAACATGAGATAGACGATATGGGACTTTCAACAAAAGTTAAAAGCATACCTAATAACATGAGATAGACGACGTGGGACTTTCAACAAAAGTTAAAAGCATGCATAATATATATATACTAGAGCAGATATGATTTTGAATCTATGACTACACAAGGACAAGGAATTAAATGTCCGAGCAAAACACAGCCACACTATTCAATACCAATCATGGGGTAAAATTCACCATCTTTAACTTGAAATCTGTACTAAAGAAAAACAGAGACGCCATGAGACTTCCAGTTTGGATTTCCAATACCTATAATGTATTTTATACGTACAAAAATCTCCAGAAACAGTTCTCTATAGGGTATCTTTAAACATAAGCTTTCACTATAAAAGGACTTTACAATTCTGCCGCTTGTTACCGCAGTGTCATAAGCTTGAACGTGCATACCAATGATACAAATTGTTCAATCAATGCCCAAACTTGAATAAGGTTCAATTCCACCCTGACAAGGAAATTAAAAGAAAAAGGAAAAAAGAAAAATTTGCAACATAAATCTATTTTTAGCACCACTCTATCCCATACAATAGTAAAAATTCTAGCTTAACTAAACTTTGTTTGACAAAGGGAAAAGGCTAACATACTAATCTATGAATAGGAATCAAATCTAACCACCAGGCATGCGATTATCAATACTATCTAGTGATGAACAGGAAGAGCCAATTGTAATATAACAATGATTTTTTTTTTTTATTATTTTATTCGAAAAAAAATATGAATATATGTAAACAAGGATGCATGTGCATGAGTATTGAGGGTGGTCTCGTTTTCTCTATCATAAATAAGAAATAACCAACTAAACTTATTTTACAGAAATATGCTACTCACTGAGCAATCATCATGAACTCGCCATACAGTCTCGCCCAGAAGGTTTGCCACCGATAGGACAGTTAATTGGGGGAAATAGTTCTGTTCTGCCACTGGAATTGTATTCGTTATAATAACTTCTTGGAACAAACCGCTTGATAACCTCTCGATAGCAGGAGGACTGCAAAGACAAGAACGATGCATAAATCATGAGTAAAATGATCTTGCATCAAAAGATACAGTGGTCCATTTGTGCTATAAATCATGAAACCATGATTGCAATACATACTTTCATCTACCCATTAGTGACATGTCACAGGAAAAGCGGAAAACAAACGTTGGAAATCTTTTCTATCTTTATAGATACAAAATAATTCTCATATCCAAAGGAAAAGTGAAGCTCCGACACCACACAAGAGGCAAACAGGATTTTACAGCTTTCAAATCTACCCGGCACCTCCTTTTGCTAAAGGAAAAGAAAAGGTGGGCACAGAGAAAGAAAAATCATTAAGGTGGAATGAGTAATGCAACCAACTCAGGAGAAGAAATAATCCCTGTTTCGTCCATCCAAAATTTTTATGATAAAAATAGGCTACATTGAACAAGAGAAAGAAAGCTGATTGAGGTCGTCCCCTCCAACCAAGAAACACCCGCATACTAAAAGATTTATAGGCCACTTCTTAGATAAGTCAACAGTGTAACACTGCCTGACTTTCAAATTCAAAGGAAATATATAATGCAAATTACAAAACAAGTAGTACATGAAAGGTAACCCTCGTAGTAGAATAAGTAGTTGAAGAGTTAGTGAGTTGGGATTGAGATAATTTGAGCATCTTTAGTGAGAGTTGCTTGGAGTATCTCCATTGAAAGTTATTTGGTGAGATGAAGTAAAACATTAGTTGCTTCAAGCTTTCCATTGGAAGAATCCTATGTAACATAATAAGTTACTTGAATTTTTTTTGGTAGTTGCTTCATTAAGCAACTTTCAAAAAATAAACAAAACAAAGTAAATGAGAAGAGAATATGAGAGAAAATGATTTCTTTAAAATTTATTAAAAAAATTTCATTAGAATAAAATCAATTATGAGTTGTTTAAGAATGATATGATACAACAAATTCATATTTTTTTTTTTTTAAATAAGAAACAACTCATGAGTTGCTCCCATTGGAGCTGCTTTAGAAAAATAAGGCATCTTGCCTAATAAGAAAAGGTATTGAGAGGGAAATTTTATGCTGTGATGAGGGAAAATTTAGATTGTTGTGGGATAATCCATGCCTCTCAAAAGTCATGGAATCATTTGTATTCTTTTGTGTTAATAGAAACTTCTTTTCTACAATTCTAATCCCGATTCTATTAGTGTGTCGGTTTCATGTGTGCAAGGGGTGTTTAAAACAGCTTGAGTCCACTGATTGCTTTTCCCTTGTATATGCCAAAATATGAAACAAAGAACTCAACCAAAACTTCAAGGAGAACAATCTGTCAATAATTAGCCCTTGTTGCAGATTCACCACAAAATGTCACCATAGAGTATACCTGAAAACAGCATGCGTGGTGCATGCATAGACTTCCCTTGCCCCTTCTTGATGCAACAGTGCAGCACCTTTGGCAATAGTCCCTACAAGACAAAGTCAAATTTTATTGAGAACAATTGATAAGACATGATAGACATACCATGCTGAATAAAAAGAACGCATACACAAACAAAACACTTAGAAGTATAACAGGACCAGAAAATACATCATGTTATAATCTAATTAAATGTGAAGATAGAAGCATTGATGCCATGTCAGTGAATGACAAAAGAAACGTCACAACATCAAATACAACTGAATAAGGATTCTCTCATTTTAACTCCAACCATGATAATGTCATTCCAGAAGAGAGTAGCACAGACCCAACATTCCTGAATAGGATTTCAATGTTTGGTAAATCTCTCTCTACATTGACAAGATTAAATCAGAGCATTAAAAGTCAAGCACTCAATGATTAAAGTTATCTCCACGATTCTCTGCAAGCATTTATTTTCACCAAAAAAGATCTACTACTGCCACAAGACAAGCGGAAGTACAAATAAGGGCACAGACAATAAGACCTTTCCCCCTCTTCACAATAGAATAAGAAACCTACCTAGGATACAGAAACTGTACAGGATTATAACTGATCCAAATGACAATTCAATTCAATTATGTCATTAATTCCTAGGGCACAAATCGAATAATTGCTCATGAGCACCTTTGTCAGCAACCGAATGCAACATCAGAAGATAGATACTAACACATTCTACATCTACTTTAAATAATGTCCTCCTACAAGACTACTCCGATCTTTATATTTTATTGTCTAAAGTCCAGCATGCCGGAACAAATCTAAGTGACATAATAAGAACAATAGACAAACTAACATTATTGCACTAGTACATGGAGAGTTTTACACGGACTTACCAGCAGTATCAATCATGTCATCTACCATAACTGCTACCTTTCCCCTTACATCACCTATCAAGTTCATCACCTGCAAAATGAGATTCACCCAATCACAACAAAGCCTAGAAGGTGCTTTATTTAAAAAACAGATAACGTTTGGGAGGGAAATGCAAGGTCCAAGTTATCTTATTTTGTTGCATATCTACCGTGATGTTTCAAACATCATTTCAATATAATAATCAATTTTTATTACATCCTCCTATTATAAATATGGATATGGTATTAGGACATACTGCACTACCATCAGCTATTTACTAGGTTATTTTAAATTAAGTAATATTATACCAGTATTTTTATTTTTTGTAAAAAAATAAGTTTTCAAACAAATATGAGAACTAGTGAATAAAATTTAAATTGCATTATTGCTAAATTTATCCGTTCCTAAAAAATTTTAGTTATTAACCAAGCCAAATGGTATCTTATGACCCATATACTCAACCTCACCAAGTAGGGTAAGGCTTTGTTATTGTATTGCTAAATCTATTCATGCGATTTGGTGAAGAATGACAACAATATATGGGATATTTTCTATAAAATTCATGTAGAAATTGAAAATGCTTCCAAATGAAAATGAAGTAATGTCTACATTACCCGAATTGAATCAGCTACAATTTAAAGGGATTTGTAGGTTCATGATTGGGCTTAACAGACGGACTTTTAGGTTTCCAATAATTGGGAATAAAATCAAGAAAATAAATTTAAATTATCTTTGAAAATATCAATTGGTAGAACCCTTGATAGTAAAAAAAGATGTTGTATATGAATTGTTTACATATTTCTGTGATGCTTGAAATTTTATAAGGATGATGCAAATATCTAGGTTATATATGTTTGTGTGCACAGGCGTAAGAACTGAATTAGTTGATATAACTAATAACTATAATGTCATTTAGTTCAACCATTGATCGAGCTGATTATATGTTGTGCGGGCCTGATTTTATAGTGTGGGTCCCAACAAATGTGTGACAATTTAATATGATCAGAAAAATAACAAAGGTACCATTCATTTTGCAAATGGGAAAATTCGAAAACAACCAAGAATCTTGTTTTCATATTTCATGATAAAAATTCTAAATTATTTGTATATTTTAAAAAATTCTAAATTCTGTATATTTCAAGCTACCAAGAGCCTTATTTTGAGTCATTGAATCTGAACCCTTTTAGTCAAGTTATCTAAACTTAAACTTAAGAAGAATCATACCTCAGCAACATTATGCCCATGGCGCCTTTTATCAACAATAGCTAAAGGAGCATCAGATAGTTTTTTGGCAAAAGCACGTGCTCTGGCAACACCACCAACATCTGGCGAGACAACTACCAAATCGTCTGAACAAATAGTTTTGCTGGCAAGGTAATCAAGTATGACAGGCTGGCAGTAGCACAAAAGAACATATGATTGACCAATGACCCAATTACATGAACAGTTTCAAGGAAAGAACTTCAGGTTAATCGAATACAAAGTAAACATATCATTAGAACTAATTTTATAGAAAATGACAGTACTACTAGAAATCCTCCAAGAACATCAATTTGAGAACCCAACCATTAACAAATCCACCTAAACTGCCCAGCAGAACACTTGACACAATAAAATTGCATGGAAGTTGTCTCCAGACCATAGAACAACAGCAAATAACCAAGAAGAAATATACTAAACAGGTAGCTCAAGGTATATTAATAAGAGAACAAAGTAATGCAAGTCATCAGAGTCCATGTCTAATTGATTGAAGAAAAAAAAATAGAAAATTTCAACACATCTAAAACAAAAGAAGACTTAAAGTTTCATCATAACAGAATCAGAAACTTAAATAATCATATAATTATAAGCAATAAAATTGGCATGTCACCAGAAAGTTGTCATTAGAATTGAGATGCACCCATAAAAACAAATTATTGAACTGACTATCAATTGCAAATATACAGAATATCCCAGGAATGTTTGTTCAATTCTAATACATTAAAATTTTATTCTCCATGCAATTATAGGCAATGACATATAGTTCATTACCTGTCCATACACATGATCCACAGGAATATCAAAATAGCCCATGGATTGGCCAGAATGGAGATCACAAGCAAGTACACGATTTGCACCCGCTTCTGTAATTAAATTTGCTACAAGCTTCGCAGCAATGGATTCTCGCCCTTGAGTCTGAAACAGTTGACAAGAGTATTTTATACTAAAACTAAATTTAGATGTTGGATATTTTCAGTTAATCGTATACCTCCATTTTAACAACTTTTCTAAAGCACTATACAAGTAAAACCAGGTAACATCATTGCAACCAAACTCCAATGGCCAGATAGACCAAAATGACTAATATATTCATATTATAAGCATGTATGATACAGATACTCATATAACATGGCTTTCAGTGTATTTTGGTATAGGTTTCATTTTCTTCTTGAAGAAGCAATTGCTGGTGTATATTTTACATATTTTCTGCCATCAATTTTCAAAGGAAAGTGTTAAAGTGTTAGAGATGAAGTCGTTCATGAGCCTTCATGTGCATCTGGTTCAGCTTATTTTAAGGAAATAATTACTTACTTTTGCCAAGTTTCTAAAATTGCACAAAGCAATTATTTATCCCAAGATAATCTATACCAAAAATGCATTTCATCAAACAGCTTAAGCTTCTGGCAGAATTAATGAGTGATGATTAACAGAAAGTTGTCAGCATAAGAAATGTTATCTTCTTCGGGCTTATTACCAATTGAGACAAAGAAACTAATGCAAAGGGATGAAGTAGTAATCAGTATTAGAATGGTTACAAATTGCAATAACTAATAGAATGAATCGTATTAAAAGGTGTGCAGCTTCAGATATGAGCCTTATGCAATGAATTCGTTTTATTACAGATTGTTATTTAATATGATCCCTATGATACATGTACCAAATGATTTTAGAAAACAAATATATTCTGGTATATGGATAGTTATATAAGAATTTGTGTAAGTAACAAAAGCACAATTTGAAGACATGCCTAGGGCAAATAAGGTGGAATGAGAAGGACAAAATTATATCACAAACAACAAATATGTTATGCATAAGTAAGCTGATAAACAGACCTTTCTATCAGCTCTGGCATATCCAAAATATGGAATGACAGCAGTAATATTTTTGGCTGAAGCTCTCCTGCAGGCATCAATCATTATGAGAAGCTCCATAAGATTCTCATTTGCAGGAGGACATGTGGGTTGCACAAGAAACACATCACAACCCCTGACACTCTCTTGGAGCTGAACATATATCTCACCATCAGCAAAACGCTTTATTTTAATTTTTCCTAGCTCCAGGCCCAGGTAGCACGCAATTTCCTACTTAAATATATGCAAGTCAAACATTTCAGTACAAATTAAAGACTAACTTTTGTATAACATAAACGCTTCAAATATTAATACACAAAACTATATTCAAGGAGTACTATATGCATTCATTACCAACAAAAATGATTGTTTCCATGATAGAAAACAAAAAGAAATGGAAAATAATAGACTGGTGTTTGGTTATGGCACATTTACTTGTGTTTTTTTTTTCTCATTTTCTGTTTTAATTTTTTAAACTATTTCCTATTTTTAATTTTTGCACAAGCAAAAGAAAAGTTTTCAATGTACTGTGCAAATCTTTAAGAACAGGATACACATTAAAACAAGGAAACAGTTTTGTAATTAAAAAGTGAAAAGTAATGAAAACAAGTAAATCTTGGAAACATAAAACAAGGTGATCTTTCTGTAATCCTAAACAAAAATATATCAAATAAAAAAAAATACTCTATGCTTACAACTCATCAATGAAATAGCTGCTAATCAGAATTCCGGCATAGTTTACCCTTAAAAATGTTAAAACAAATTCAGTAATTACTTTGTGGACAAATTTCCATGCACAACTAAGTTTTTTTTTTTTTTCATTTTCATAGTTTCAATGTAAAAATGAGTACCACGATTACTCAAAAAAGTCATTATCTTAATGATATGCCAGTACATGACTCAATGATAATGTAAAAAACTTCTGCTAACTTTAGATGGACAGAAATGGACGGACAAAGGTAACGAAATGACATTGGCAGCAATTGTTTAATTGTGAATGGAATGAAAACTATCTATTGTCAACCGACTCAGACATCCAATACCTATATTTTTAGTTCACTGCAGGTATTCTCCTTTGCAGGCAATTCTGTTTGAGGCACAATTATATATTAAATATGCAAGCATCCGATGCCCTCTTTTTATTGCCCAACTTGGCAGGCATGGGACTAAATCAGTTTATTTTTACTAATCTCCTTATGTTCGATTCGTATTGAGCTCAGACACAGTTCATGAAAGTAAGATACTTCCACATGTTGGAAAATCAAACCAGATTTATCGTGGCCATGTTTTATTGTCTCATAAAGTATGCACATTATGTCAACTACCAACAAAGACATGTTTACCCCTAACCAAATGATTTTATTCACTTCCCAGACAAACTTAGATACAATTCTTCATGATCTTTTGGTGCGACACCACAGTAATCTATTTTCTTTACCGAAAACTTTTATTACGCGAGACTACCAAAGTAGAACTCTAATTCTAATTACTTTAAGGCTCTTTTTAGAGGACTCCACGGATAAAATTGAGTTTCTCCAACAAGTTGAAAAAACTCATGTATTTTAACTTTTTAAGAAGTTCTATCTTCTCACTTAGCTAAAAGTTGAAGTACATATTGATTTTACAATAAGGAAGAAGCTTACTTCATTTACTCGAGAGTTTATAGAAAGTTTATCGTATTAATTTCTCCAAGACCTGATGTTTAACTTGTACATAAGTTAATTTTAGCTAATGAAAAAATTAATTACATTTTTTTCTTCTTATTTTCTTTCCTAAATTATTCATAGAGACCTATTAACTTATGGAAGAAGCTTAATTTATTTTACCTTCATTTCATATTTACTTCTCAATAACTGTAAATAAATTATTCAAGAGTGAACCTGATTGGGATTGCAGAATAACACTAAAATCATCTAAAAACTGCAATAAAAGTCTCCCATAGTCCAAAGTTCCAATGGCACGAACTCTAATTTCACTTCTCTTACAAGTGTTTGTGAAAAATTTACATAAACAAAGCTTAATTCTGATTACTTATCAACACTAAAAATACCTAAAGATCGACATTAAAAGTCTCCTATATTCCAGAGTTCCAATGATATGAACTATAACTTCACTTCATCGTTTTATTTCCTACATCTATACACAACCTTCCATCAAATTCGAACTCTACTTTTCCTACTCCAAATGTCCAACAACAAAACAAATCGTTAAAAAAACACCGTGACCTGAGCAAGCGCAGGATTGGCGGTACCGGAGAATATCCTCAGACGCGTGTCGTTCCGGTTAACCAAATCCTGAATCCGCGCATTCGGCGCCATGACGTAGCTCGGAATCGAGTTTCCGCTGACGACGAACTCGCTGGCGCTCGGCCTCCCATTCTCCAACTTCACTGTTTCTGTGGCCTTACAGCGCTGAAGAAATGCGCGTTCCGTTAACAAGTTGAATAAATAAAGCGAAGAAAACGAGAGAATTGGAAAGAGGTTACTCACGACGGCGTTCTGGAGCGAGATGCGAGAGGTTTGGAAAAAACGAGAAGATGTGATCGGAGAGAAGGCAGGGGAAGAAGTGGCAGCGGAGTGAAGGTGAAGAGTCGACATGGCGTTTGGAAACCTTCTCCACGTTCATCAATTCAGATTGGGTATCTCTATATTTTCCATTTTCATTTCATTTCTCCCTGTATTTATATTATATTTTACTTAATTTTATCTCACAATTATTATTAATATCAATTTAATATTTTTTTATTAGTCAACAATATTATTTCAAAGTGACTGAGAAACATGGTCTAAATCACACATGTTAATAATTTTATAATCAGTGTTTAAAATTTAAAATGATAATTAATGTAGTTTAGATACTAAATTATTGATTAACTAGTCACTCATTAATTAAATTTTATAAACTTGAGTAAAGAATTAAAAATAAAACAATAGTAAATATATTATGTAAAGTGGTGATATTGTTATTACAAAAATAAAAACATCATTCAATAATTTATTTTTAAATTTTTATATTATTATTTATTTATCTTTGTTTTATCAATTAACCAAAAAATAATATTTTAAAATTGTCATATATTTGTAAACATTGATAATAAAAAAATCTTTTTCCTATTATTTATTGTTGGAATTTATCAACTATTTTGGTAGTTCAATGGTTAGAAGAAGGAAATGGGTTGACTCCAACCAACTTTCTCAAGAAAGCCCAACAAGTTACCTTTGATTTGATGATTACAAGAAGAAAATGGGTTGGCTCCAACTCACTTATATTATAATTTGTTTGTTTATATAAACATTTAAAATTTTATGTTTAACTTTTATATAAGATGACTTTAATTTATGAAAATATTAAATTTATTTTTTAAATTAATTTTTTTAGAAATCTATTTTGAAAAAGGTTATCTAAATATTTTAAGAACCATTGTTAAATTAAACAACTCAAATCAAATATTACCTTATGATAAAGAAAAAGGATAAAAGAATAATAAAATTTTATTAAATATTTTAAGAACCAACAGTATTAATAGAAAAATTAAAGGTAAATATTTTAAAAATTGGTGGTGCTTTCTCTCTTCACCATTTTCATTTATCTCATCCAAACAAACCATAAAAAGTTTGATTGGACAAGTAAAAATTAGGGTTTGATTGAAGGCATTTTCTTTTCAACTCTTAAGATCGTGAGATGGCATTGAAGCCAAACCAACCAGTTAAGAGTCCAAATTTGCAGGGACTTGCTGCAGTCTATACATTATTACATTTGAAAACCTCAGGGCAGACATCATAGGACTAAGTTGAGTTTGATTCACATTTTGCTATTTCTATGTCAAAACTTTTTAAATGGAAAATCAAAGCATGTCTCAAGGATGCGAACAGGTCCAGGCTTCATGAAGAAACTCCATGTGGAAGAAGTGCAGCAGCCACAATTCGACCTTCTTCATTCAGTATGTTGTAAGTTGATGCTGCATTTCTCTATGTAATAGTCAAAAGAATTTAATTAGAATACACTCAGAATATAAAGATTTTTTACAGTCATAACTAGGGTAACTTGTAGAAAGTTGAAAGTGTAAAGTTTATATACTGATACTTCATCAGAGTTTATATCATATATTAAACTCATTATTCAATAATTAAAGATAATTGCAAATTATATATCACCATGCATTGATCAAATAAAATGGATATTCTAAATGATTCTCTTCATTCAAAAGTTTAACCTTGCCAACAATATTTCTAGGACTTAATTTTGATACATTGGTAATTAAACTTTTGTCCACAATCATCCATTGTCGTATCATTGAAAGTATTTATCAAATTCTTTCAATCATACGAGAACATATGCTTGAATGATAATTTAAAATAATAGATTAACATTAAACTTCTCATTAATCATTTTGTACCATCATGCTTGAGTTATGAACTATTGGATTATCCATTTTGTATTTGGGGCTTGTTTGGACGAACTTCCCCAAGAGAACTTCTTGAGGAGAAAAATACGAAGAAAAAATGAAATTATGTTTCTCCAAAAGTTTAAATAAGCTCATGCATTATAGAAGTTCTCTTATATAGTTTCTCTAATAGACTCTCAAATTTTATCACTATTTGACATCACCTTCAAAGAAATTTCATACACACTTTGTCTGCTACTATCTTAAGGTGAACCGAAAAATAAGCAATATGACCAGAAAGTCCAAAGTAAAAAACAGTCAACAACAAGTAAAGAGAATGATACAGAATTGCATCCAGAAATCATTGATTTGGCATTGATTTTATCCCTACAGTTATTAGCATTGATTAGGCATTTAGCTATTCAGATATCATTTTTTTAATAGAATATCCATAAACACCTATTTTAAAATGTTCTTACTATGATTGCAAGCTTTGGAGAGAATGAGAAGGGATAAACCATAAAAGCATTGAAATCAGAAGGGTAGGAACATCGGGCCTCAGATTGGTCCTTTCCATTCTTCTTCAAGTTCATTTCTTTTAAAATCTTAGACACAAGTTTAATAGTTCCCATGTCCCCTTTATACCCACAACCTACAAGGATATTGTTAGAATTATTATTAGTTAGTGGTTAGTGGTTAGTGGTTAGTAGTTAGTAGTTGGTGGTTGGTGGTTGTTAGTAGTTAGTAGTTAGTGGTTGTTGTTTTAAATGTTGTAATCCTATATATATATATGAGATCATAGAGTGGAGTAAGAATCCCACAAAATTAGAAATCTTCTTTTCATTCTCTTTACTCTCTTAACTTGGTATCAGAGCACCTAAGTCAAAATCCATGGATTATTGACTCAGGTGCTTCTGATCACATGTCTGGTAATGCCTCTTTGTTCTCTTCTCTCTCATTTCCTAAAACTCCTCATCTCATAACCTTAGCCAACGGATCTAAAGTAGCATCTAAAGGAACTGGTCAAGTCTCCATTTCTCCGTCTTTAAACTTAAAATCTGTTCTTTTTGTTCCTTCATGTCCCTTCAGTCTCATTTCTCTAAGTCAATTAACCAAATTATTGAATTGTTCAGTAACCTTTAATGCCAACTCTTTTGTTATACAGGAACGTGGTACGTGTCGACAGATTGGCGAAGGACATGAATCTGGAGGCTTATACTACCTTGGGACTAAATCATCTGTATCTTGTGTTGCATCCTTGTCTCCAAAACTATTACACGAACGGTTAGGGCACCCTCACTTATCAAGATTAAAAAAAATGGTTCCTGAACTTCAGACTCTTCAAGATTTTGAATGTGAATCATGTCAACTAGGGAAACATACTAGGTCCTCTTTTCCTAAACGTTCTGAATCTAGATGTGACTCTGTCTTTTCTCTTGTTCATTATGATATTTGGGGTCCTAGTCGTGTCTCATCCTTTGGCTATAGATATTTTGTTACCTTCATTGATGAGTTTTCTAGGTGTACTTGGATTTATCTAATGAAAGACCGTTCTGAATTATTATCTATCTTTAAGTCTTTCCTTAACGAAATCAAAAATCAATTTGGAAAAGTAATCAAAGTTTTACGAAGTGATAATGCCAAAGAATACTTTTCTACTGATTTCTCCACTCTCTTAAGCTCCCAAGGCATTTTACACCAGTCTACTTGTCCTCACACACCACAACAAAATGGTATAGCAGAACGAAAAAATAGACATTTGGTTGAAACTGCTCGTACCTTATTACTTGGTGGAAATATGCCCGTTCATCATTGGGGAGATGCTATTCTTACTGCATGTTTTCTCATTAACAGAATGCCATCTTCTTCTCTTAACAATAAAGTTCCACACTCTATTCTATTGCCAAATGACCCACTCTTTCATGCTTCTCCTCGTGTATTTGGTTGTGTATGTTTTGTTCATGATATGTCTCCAGGTTTAGATAAACTATCGCCTAGAGCCATCAAATGTGTCTTCTTGGGATATTCTCGTCTTCAAAAAGGATATCGATGTTATTCTCCCGAAACCAAGAGGTACTACATGTCTGCTAATGTCACTTTTTTTGAGTCAACTCCCTTCTTCCCTTCTTCTATGCAGGATATTAGTTCAGTCCAAAATGTCCTACCTATACCCTTAGTGGAGTCATTTGTACCTCCTCCCGACACCCAAAATTTCACACAAAATACACCGGAATCCTCATCACTCGCCTCTTATTACCTATCAACACAGGAGCCAAATGATCAGCCTCATGTCCCAAGATGAGTCTTCCTCGACAGATCCTTCTCAATCATCCCCCGATACCACGATTCCCGATAATGGTGACTCAAGTTGGCCCATTGCCATTCGCAAAGGTACTCGCTCTACTCGTAATCCACATCCCATTTACAATTTTCTTAGCTACCATAGATTGTCTCCTTCCTATTTTTCTTTTGTTTCTTCTGTATCCACTATTACTATTCCAAAGAATGTGAAAGAGGCACTTGATCATCCTGGATGGCGACAAGTCATGATTGATGAAATGCAGTGCTCTTGAGCACAATGGTACATGGAACTTAATTCCTCTTCCACATGGGAAGAAGACTGTTGGTTGTCGTTGGGTCTATGCCATTAAAGTTGGACCAAAAGGTGAAGTTGATCGACTCAAAGCTAGATTAGTAGCAAAAGGCTATACTCAGATCTATGGCCTTGACTACAGTGATACTTTTTCTCCTGTGGCCAAAATGACTACTATTCGACTTTTCTTTGCTATGGCAGCTATCCGTCATTGGCCCCTTCATCAGTTAGATATCAAGAATGCGTTCTTGCATGGTGATCTTGAGGAGGAAATTTATATGGAGCAACCTCCTGGTTTTGTTGCTCAGGGGGAGTCTAGTTTGGTTTGTAAGTTACATCGTTCTCTCTATGGTCTCAAACAATCTCCACGTGCTTGGTTTGGAAAGTTTAGTCACATTGTTCAAAGTTTTTGATTAAAACGAAGTGAAGCAGATCATTCTGTTTTTTATTATATTGCTTCGAGAAAATGTGTTTATTTAATTGTATATGTAGATGATATAGTCATTACAAGGAATGATGTTGATAAAATTTCTTTGCTAAAGAAACATTTATGCAATCACTTCCAAACTAAGGATCTTGGTTGTCTCAAATACTTTCTAGGGATTGAAGTGGCTCAATCAAAAGAAGGCATCGTAGTCTCCCAAAGAAAGTATGTTTTAGATATCTTGAAAGAAACAGGCATGATTGATTGTAGACCAGTAAACAGCCCTATGGATCCAACTCGGAAATTAATGGCGGATCAAGGTGAACCGCTCTCTGATCCCGAGAGATATAGAAGACTTGTTGGGAAACTCATTTATCTCACCATTACCGCACCTGACCTATCTTTTGCCGTTGGAGTTGTGAGTCAATTTATGCAAAATCCGCGTATTGATCATTGGAATGTCGTCGCTCACATCCTAAAATATCTCAAAAAGCTCCAGGACAAGGTCTCGTTGTATGAAGATAAAGGGGGTACCCAAATATCTCGGGTATTGTGATGCCGATTAGGCTGGATCCCCTATGGATAGACGCTCCACTACAGGATATTGTGTTCTCATTGGAGGCAATATTATTTCTTGGAAAAGTAAGAAACAAAATGTAAGTGGCTCTGGCCTAGTGCTCGAAGCCGAATATAGAGCAATGACATCTCTCACTTGTGAACTAGTGTGGGTGAAACAATTCCTTCAAGAACTGAAATTTTGTGAGATCCAACAGATGAAGATGTATTGTGACAATCAAGCAGCTCTACACATTGCCTCTAATCCGGTGTTCCATGAAAGGACCAAACATATAGAACTTGATTGTCATTTTATTCGTGAAAATTTGTTGTCTAAAGAAATTTGCACTGAATTTGTCGGGTCCAATGATCAACTTGCAGATTTGTTGACAAAGTCTTTAAGAGGACCTCGAATTGAATTTATTTGTTCCAAGCTTGGTACATACAATTTGTATGCTCTAGCTTGAGGGGGAGTGTTAGAATTATTATTAGTTAGTGGTTAGTAGTTAGTAGTTGGTGGTTGGTGGTTGTTAGTAGTTAGTGGTTGTTGTTTTAAATGTTGTAATCCTATATATATATATATATGAGATCATAGAGTGGAGTAAGAATCCCACAAAATTAGAAATCTTCTTTTCATTCTCTTTACTCTCTTAACTGATATATCTGCTAGTTGACTTAGATTCCTTAATAAAACATAATAAGGAGTTCCAAACCAACAATGTAAGAAGAACTAATGAAGCCAAGCACAAGGCTCAAACTAAAAAATGAATACATACCGAGTCTACAGCTTCTAACTTCATGCCAGTAGAGCGAATAAACCGTCTCAGTTCAGGATCTACATGTTGAATGTTCCTTCCACAACCAAGAATCAAAATCTCTGGCAAATAATTTTTCCAAGTGTTAGTTAATATAGATCAAAAACAATTAAATAGGCAATCATAGCATTGAATTAATAATATAATAAGAAGATGCAATGTGTTGTAATTAACTCAAAGTAATTAGCTATATATGGAACAGCATATCAAAGATGAGCAAAGAGAAAGAGTGAGATAGAACAGTACAAAACACAATTAGATAAATTCACAAGGAAGTGAAATTATATTACTTAACTAACTTGCATTAATTGTGAAAGAGAGATATGTATCCATTTTTAGGTCCTAACTTAACAAACTACAATTGCATGTATATCAACCACTTCAAAAGTGAATTAGAAAGAAAACCATCAATTCAGTAATTTTTTCATTCAGAGAATAACAGATTATGAAGCATCCTACCTAATCCCAAAAAGGAAATATAAAAAGTAGAACTTCAGAAAAAAAATGGGGAAAACAGAATGCTAAGCAAAAACAAAAGAATGTCAAAACTAAAAAGTCCAACCTGGAATAGGGCGAACAATTTGGAAGAGCGACAAACTGCAAGAAGGGACAAGATAATAGTAAATAAGATATTAGAGCAAGATAGCATGATGCATATTCCCTTAAACAAATGAGATGAAACTAGAATGTTATAATGCATTTACTTTTTGTTGCTTCTTTGCATGTTTCATAACTATCACACGCTCATTAAATTGGAGGGAGAAGTAATCATTGCCAATTATCATATCTTAACATTCATTTCTTGTATGCTTTATTCTGAGGATATAAAAAATAAAGATTAAACAAGGATATAATAAACACATTATAAGCACCCTCCCTCTACAGTGGATTCAAGAATTACAATTTAAAAAGTAGTAATCAAAAGATTAAAGAAAACAATGGGTCCTAAAAATATCTTTATAGGAAAAAAAAAATTATGAGAGAAAAGCAAGTAAACAGAATATAGAGAAAATAAAGAACCATAGAGAATCAGAAGTGTTCATAGGCCATGTGCAAAACTACCATCAGTTTACTGCCCAGCTCTGGACATGCCAAAACATGATAGAAACAGGAGAATGCATAAATGCTTATTTGAATAAAATTGATACTAACAAAGAACAGGGAGAAGAGACAAGGGGCGTATAACAAACAAACCTATCAGCGGTGATCTCTGAAAACTTCTTAGGTTTCCAAGACATGAGCAAATTTCCAACACAAAGCACGCTTCCTTCATACTCAACCCCATTTACAGTAAACCCCGTATCACTATACCTGAACCAATTGAAATAAAAAATTATTAATAATTTACAACCATGTTAAGAACCTGCAGAAATCATATGCTACAAGACCATTTCACAATTAAGTATGAAAATTTAAAACACCCCACTTTCAGAATGAGAAGAAAAACCCAAAAAGGCAGAAGGAAACAGAGAAATTGCAACCAAGTTAAGTCCATGCATCAAATTACATATCATGTCAACGTGTTTTTTGCGAAATTCTAGAAATCTCTTTCTTGAACCCCATATTAAGAAAACAAAATTTCAAACACCCCATACCAGAATGAAACAAAAAGAACAGAAACTACAACCAAGTTAAGTCCCTACGTCCAGTTACTTGAGACAATTCAAACAAACCCACGCCACATTCAATACTCTTCCTCGGACCCTAAAATTAAAAACACCCAAATTCAAAAATGAAAAAAAAAAAAAAGGAACAAAGAAATTACAACCAAGTCACTATCTGCATCAAATTATATACCCTGTCACCATCTTATTTGAAACAATTCCAGAAAACCCATTTCACATTCAACTCTCTTCGTCAAACCCCATATTTAAAAAACTAAAATTTAAAAATTTAGATTAAAAAAAGAATCAAAAGGGGAAGATGGGTCGGTACTAACCCTTGAAATCGAAGCTGGTCTTCGGGAACTTGATCGATGAGGTTGATCTGATCGTACAAAGAGAAAGCGCGTCGAAGAGAGGGTAACGCATTGACATGGTTCTGAGGCTTCAATGGTTCTCTCCGGAGAGTGCGTAAAAGGGTTGGAAGTGCCGATACTGCTCTTTGCCTAACCGCCATGCCTTGTCTGTCTTGCTCGAGCTTTCCAACACCCAACCCAACTCAGTTCTTCTCCACCCTTCCCTGAAGGTATTTTTATTTTTATTATTACTTGTTTAATGAAATAATTCAAGAGTTTAATTGTTACTAATAAAGTAATAACCAAATCAACTAAAAACAATATTATTTACACTATTTTTTAGATAATTATTATAAAACCACGAAAAAAATATCTACTTATTACAGAATAAGATGTAAAATTATTTTATATTATCATATGTTTCAATTTTTCGGAAATGTAATTAAATGAGTCTTATCCAAATTTATTTCATGATTTATGATAGTAATTTTTTTATATTTATTTATAAAATAAGATTGACTTTTAATTATTCTATTATTGTATAATATGTAAATGAGAAGTTATTTAATTATTAATTAGAGGTGATTTGTCGAATAACACCATAAATAATATATTTAAAAAATTATTTAAATATAATCTTTCAAAAATTATTTATTTAATTAAACTTATTTATATTTATATACAAATTTTATTAAGAGAAAATAAATTTATTTTATATAATATAATTATTTTTCTTATTTTTATTTATTTTTTATTTTATTTTATTTGTATTTTTATTTTGTTCTTTTCTCTTCTTCTTTTTTTACTTCAAAATAATATATTAAAAATTAATGAGTCATTATTATTATTAAAAATAAAAATATTTAAATGTTAATAGTATAATTTGATATATTATATAAAAAAATATTATATACTAAATTTAAGAAGTTACAAATATTATTATTATGTTATAATTATCAAAAAAGATATTAAATATTTATTTTAAAATATTTTTTCATAAATATTTTTATAAAAATATCTAACTATAATAACTAGATTAAAATATTACATAAAAATATATTTAAATTATAAATATTTAACATTTTTTAATTAGATGAATAATTATTTATCATAATAAAATAATTTTAAATTATTTATTTATCTCATCTTAAATAAAATTATTTATTATTATCATATTTTTAAATATTTAATTAATATATATTTTTAGATTTAATATTTTTTAATTATTATTTTAATATATTTTTATTAAATTTTAATACAATAATTTAATTAAAAAAAATAAATAAGAGAATAAAAAAATAATATAAAACCTATAAATAAAAAACAATGAGAAGTAAATAAAGAAAATAAAAAATTTTACGATAGAGAAAAAAACTATTATGTATGAACATTTATAAAAAAAAATTAAGTAATTTTTTTAAAATATATTATTTTTAAGATTCATTCTATTTAATTAATTATTAACAATGTTAGTAGATATTTCATGATACTAAAAAAATTACTGCTATTTAATTAATATCATAAAAACACAATAATTATATATAAAAATTAAGTCCTTGTTTAAAATATGCATTTCTAATTTTATTTTTAAATTAATTTTTATTATAATAAATAATAAAATTATGGTTTATATCAATGGGGTTGATTAAAGTTGATTCCTTTTTAGTTCAAACTAAAATTGAAAAGAGGTAAACAAAACAGAAGAAGCCATAAAGTTAAATGGCTTCTTCTTCTCGTTCTCGTTTGATGTTGCAATTACAGAGTTCTCCGCGACTAATGCTACGACTCTCACCCTTTCTCGCCATTCCTTCTCCTTCTTCTTCTCTCTCTTTCTCCTCCAACTTCCGCGTGTCCTCTTCAGCTCAACCCACACTTCAACAGCCATATCCGCGAAGCTCAGAAATTGTGGCATTGGAATATGCTGACCTCAATCTCTCTTACAACTTGGTAACCCTTTTTGTATTCTACACTGCATAAATCATGTACCTCTAAAGATAGTGTTATTTTTTTGAAAATGTGTCTTTATTGTGATTGTTCCTCCCTCAATCAACCATGATTTTTTATTCATATTGGAATATTTGAAACCAGAAACAAATTGAGGTATTTGTAACTCAAAAGTGAAAACAGAAAACTGAAGTCCAAGTAAAACATCCTTAGTCCCTAAAACTAAGAAAAATACTAAGTTACTTAAATTTTCACTCTTTCATTTCAGTCCCTAAACCTAATCGTTTGTTGACATTTTTGTTCCTAATTAAATGCTATTACTATCATTTTATGTTACTCAGACCAATCTGATTGACGAATTGTACTTTGTGGGACTTATTTCGAATTTTATTAATTTCAATAGCTAATGTGACAGTATTAAACACTTTTAGGGACTATAATGGTGGTTTAAAAAAAATATTATTCTATATGATGCATAACATTATACAAGAGGAACTAGAATATTTATGAGTGAGTGTGTTAGTTTTTAAGTTTTGGATTTGCTGATTTTTCATTTATTTAACCATGCTATGTTGTGTATTCAATTTCAGGATCTGGGTCACGTCAGGATCAGGCAACATGTTAATCCTCTAAGCTCTTCTTTCTCTGTAATATGTTACTCTATAAATTCAATCTCTCCATTTCATTGTCAAGGGGGTCTATCTTAGTTGGTTGTGTTGGGCGTTGTAAATTCTTGATATGTTTCAATTACTACAGATAAAAAAAGTTCTCCATTCCATTATTTTAACTACGTTCATGTTCACTTTATTAGTTTGGGCATAATTTTCTTAAGAAATTGTGTATGAATCAATGATACTGTATATAGATAAAAGGAGTGCAAGTAACACACTCTTCAACACTCATATTCTGTTATAGGTTAAAGTTTATTTGGAAATTTTGAAATTAGGAGTGAGACTAGTTAAATAAGAAATGAGACTCACAAAGTTTCATGTTTTCCAATGAATCATTTGTCATGCATTGAAGTAGTCTTTTGCTTTCCACTAATGTGATTTTTTCTCTTTGTAGGTTCCTGCACAAGTACCAGACTGGAACCAGGTCTTTGCAGACCCAACGTTGCCACTCATGGTGGACATTGGATGTGGTAACCTGAATTTCAGTGATAAATTTATTTGATGCATATTTTGTGTCTGCTGTGTACTGGCACAAATAATGTATGTGGAAGTTAGCGATGATGAAACTAGTTTCTTACATAATATAATACTGTGATTGCAGTTTCCCTTTTGATTTGTTGAATCAAAATATCTTGTTGAAATTGATATAGCAATCATTTTCATTAGTACCCTTGACACCAAAATGCTATTAAGAAGTATCTCTAGGACTAGGATCAATGAATAATGCCACTAACTTAGGTACACTAATTCCTGCACATCTGATGTAATTTATAAACAATGTCAGGCAGTGGCAGATTTCTAATGTGGCTGGCTAAAAGAACTCCTAAAGAGAGAAATTTTTTGGGATTGGAAATAAGGCAAAGGGTATGGAACCCTTTTTTCTTTCAATCAGTTTTGATTTCTTATGTATTGTGGCACATTAAGTTTTGAATATAGGGGTTATCTTGTATGAAAATATAATACTTCCTTGTGCAGATAGTCAAGCGTGCTGAGATATGGGCAAAAGATCTGGCTCTCAATAACATGTACTACCCTAAAACTATGTATAGATGGTGGTGTAAAATACATATATGTATATTCTTTTCAATGCTGGAGTAATGACTGTTATTACACTAAAATGCCAGACATTTCTTGTTTGCAAATGCCACAATTTCTTTCAAGCAGTTGGTAGAATCATATCCAGGGCCCTTGGTCTTAGTTTCAATTTTGGTGAGTTGCCTCCTATGTAGCACTCAAGGCTAGAAAAGGGTGCACTGAACTAAGGACTTGTTGCCTACATTTTTATTACTTGGTTTTACACAAATGTCTTTCATTTCTGGTTAAATGATTTCACCCTACACATGCAGTGTCCGGACCCACATTTCAAGAAAAGACATCATAAAAGAAGAGTTCTCCAGAAGCCCTTAGTTGGTGCTATAGTGGATAATTTAATGCTCGGGGGACAGGTATAATTTTTGTATGCTCTTATATGTTTTTAGTTGATTGCAAATGTCGTGAGATCATGATGTGAATCACAAGGGGTGATTTAGGATCTTTAAGGTTAGAACCTTGTAGAAAATTTAGGAATTTAGTGATAAGGTGAAGGAAAGAATCACTCTTTCCAAGGAAGACAACTCACAAAGGATGTGAAAGTTCTTTGATACAGCCAAATATTCTTGAATCACTCAAGAATTTAGGAGAATCACTCTCACTAAGATAAAAGAGATAAACTCTAATATTTCTAAACATAAAACTCAACTTGTTATTTCTGATAAAAAATTGTTCAGCTTATAAAGAAGTTTTGCTATCAGAGTTACAAATATTCATTAAAGGAAAATAAATGCTAATAATGATTTATTAACCTAGAAATTGAAAACTACTTAACGATTGATTGTAACTGAAATTGTGGCATCCAAAAGTCAATCAGTTATACACCCTTTTGGTCTCCCAAAGACTGATAACAATACTTGTTGAAAGCTTCATTTATTTTCCTTGCTCTAGCCCTTATCATAGGTCATGTTCACATCATTTTCTCCCTCTTGAAAAGGATTTGTCATCTACATAAAAAAGAGATAAGTCTGATAAATTGAATGTAGAATTAACATTATACTCACTTTTTATGGCTAAATAGTTCTTCTTCACTTCAAGTGTTTCACTAACGCTTTTTTTTTTTTTTTTCTCTTGAAGAAATTTTTCTCATTTTCTTTTTATCCTCCTCTGCCATCAATTTATGTTCAAACCTTTAAACCGGGGCTCTGAATACCAACTGATGTGAATCACAAGGGGTGATTTAGGATCTTTAAGGTTAGAACCTTGTAGGAAATTTAGGAATTTAGTAATAAGGTGGAAGGAAATAATCACTCTTTTCAAGAAAGACAACTCACAAAGGATGTGAAAGTCCTGTGATACAGCCAAATATTCTTGAATCACTCAAGAACTTAGGAGAATCACTCAAGAACTTAGGAGAATCACTCTCACTAAGATAAAAGAGATAAACTCTAATATTTCTAAAAATAAAAATCAACTTGTTATTCCTGATTAAAGATGGTTCAGCTTATAAAGAAATTTTGTCATCAGAGTTACAAATATTCATTAAAGGAAAATAAATGCTAATAATGATTTATTAACCTAGAAATTGAAAACTACTTAATGATGGATTGGAAATGAAATTGTGGCATCCAAAAGGTCAATCAGTTATACACCCTCTTGGTCTCCCAAATAACTAAATTTCCAATTGGACCCTTATTACAACTTGCAATAAAACCAAACTAAAGCCCATTAATTGATTAATCCAAAACACAATTTGGTCAACCAACAATATTTGTTGAAGAGCTTCATTTGCTTCTCTTGTTCTAGCCCTTATCATAGGTCATGTTCACATCAGTTCATCTGAAGTTTTGGTAAAGATTCTCATGTGATATTTCCTTATACTATATTATTTGAGTTTGTATGAGTTAGACATTCTTTATATTGGTTGTACAAGAGCTTGCTCCATAAATAATGACTGAAGATGGTGCAATGCTATGCTATGAGCACTATTTAATTGTTGAGATAGATATGTTACTCTTTAATGATTTTTAAAGGAACTAATAACGAAGAAGCTTGGGTTTTGAGAAATATAAATATGTGTGATACTTGACACATTGATTCACTTGTGATATATAATAATTTAATCTTCCAGTTTGAAGACAATTCATCAGCAGTACGCTGGAGATTTTGTAAAAAGTGTTTTACCTTTAACGGGGGTCATGATGCATGGAATAGTATTTTCTTCATGCAAGCTTTTCTCCACACTATTCATTCTTGAATCCATTTTGGACTCCAACATGAATGTCCTCTTTCGATGGGCGAACCAGCTCTAATACCAGTTGATAATTGCAAGGGACTTGGTGAAGGAAGGCTATAAACATGACAGGGATTAGCACACAACCCCTGATGAACCTCAAACCTAATGGCAAGTTGCTGTGAGATGATCTGGAGGATCTACTCTATGATATCATGCCTATGCTTCTCATTCCATTTTTTTCTTGGTCTCTAATTGAATGTTTTAGTGAACATATATAAAAATCTCTTCGCCAATTTCTCCTTGATCTCTCTCCCCTTTGCCTCTCCTGTGTTTTTGTAGTTTGTGGTTAGTCACTGTCATAAAGATTGTGGAATCAAAGTATACAAGTTTATATTGTTTCTGGAAAGTTTATGTCATAAAGGTTATCCATGTATCATTTTTAATTTGATAATTTTATATAGTGTATATTTAGGATACTTGCAGAAATGTTGAGGTTCTTTATTTCATTTTGTTATTAGATTCATATTTTTGGTTCTGAATATTTCTTTTACTAATATTAGTAATATCTCTGGAGCTTTTGACTGAAATTCTCGTTTGGTATTATGGCAGGTATTTGTGCAGTCTGATGTGCTTCAAGTGGCACTTGACATGAGAAATCAGTTTGATGAAGTTGAAGCACTGAAACATTTAGATGTTTCCAACCCAGCTATTTTGTGTGACAGTGAAGGCTGGTTGTTAAGTAACCCCATGGGAATAAGGACTGAGAGAGAGATTCATGCAGAACTCGAAGGTGCAAAAATATTTAGAAGATTGTACCAGAAACAAATATGAATCATGAGTTCTCAAGCTTGACTAGTTTGTTTATTCGCTCTCCTACTATGAAGCAAAAGGAGAACCTTGTCCATGTCAGACATGAGTGGAATGAAACACTCATGTCAGACACACTGCAGCACCCAACATGACACTTCAAATCTTAACAAGATGCTTGGTCATTTTTTGTGTCTATTGGGTCCATGTTCTTTTATATGTTGAACCAAAAGCTCACATATTCCAAGAATGCTTGCTTATCAATATTTTCTCTTCTAGCTAGAATTCTCTCTATCTTTGGTGAGTTGTATTGTGGCCAGAGAAGTCCTGTGATGTGTGCTATCCGATGAAGTTCTCATATTGCACATATCATACCTAATCGGTCAAGGTTTAGGGTTTGTGTATTTATGTATTTGTAGTGTATTCATATAAAGACCAATCAGTATTATAGTTGAAAAAGTAATTTTAGGGGTTTCTTTCAGTAATATTAAACCGGAACATGTTTCTTAATATACCAACACTTGTTTGTCCAACTGACAATAAACTTAGTTTCCCTCAGATAAATGGTCTTGAATTTAAAATTTGGTGAATGGAAAAAATAGTTACAGAAACATATTACCTTGCATAGCTTGACCCAACTTTGGATTATTCAATAATTCCTGTGGTTTTCTGATACAAAGGTCTCAAAGGGAAGAAAAAGAAACTGTATTTTTGTTTTAATTGGTATTACTTGCGTTGTATATTATTTAAGAATTGCACAGGTAATTGTCCAAGCAATGTATAAGGTAGGGAAGATCAGGTAAAATGATAGGTAAAGTTTAGGTAGGTTCATTGAAATATATTTTAGAGACAGTATTGATTTAAAAAAAAAAACTCAAAATTGTGTAAAGATAAAAGTGAGTACGCGTGTCTAAGTTATGAAGAGATGACTCTGCATATAAAGAAGAGTATTAATATGTTATTACTAAGTATTTTATGAATTATTTTCTGTTATATCTTGGTCAATTTTGTTTATTTATACATAATGTGGAACTTCAATTAATAATGAAAGAATATAGATTAGTTGGGTTTATCTTCCTAAGAAATTTGTTGTGATATTTAAATGATATTTTAAATAAATTGAAAAATAAATTTTATTCAAATTCCAACTCAATGTCTTATGCAAGTGATTGATTTCAATTTCACTCAAATTAACAATATATTTATTTTCATAAATAAATTTTATTTCAATTCCAACTCAATTTTGTTTATTTATAATCAAATAAGCTTGATCATGTGCGATCCATTTATCCTCACTTTTTTTATTTTTTAACAGAAATTTATGGGCAATAACTAAAATTTAATGTTGTCGCGTACCTAACATTCACCACATTGACGCATTAAAAGAAAGCGACAGCGGAATTTTACAAACATTAACAACAAAACAACCAGATGCAACCTTCCCTATTTTTGGTTTTATTTTTATGTTATTTTATTCAAAACCAAAAAAAATAACTATAACTGATAAGTAAACATAATGTAAAGATTAAAAGATGTATTAATTATAATCTAATATTCGATATTTTCAAACATTTATTGATGAAAATATGGAAAATAAAATTATATTATAGTTAGTTAAGAAATAAATTTATATATTGTAATAGGTCATTTGTAAATTTAAAAAATTTAGGAGGTTAACAAGTTAGTGATCTTACATATTTAATTAATTTTGCTGGTTAATTTTGTTAGAGGTTAGAATTAGGAACCAAAGATAATAAGTATTAATTAGAAATCCTAGCCTATATAAAAAACTAAATTTATTGTACGTTGTTCATCAATAATAAAATTTCAACGGTTATAATTCTCTTTCTTCTTTTGAGTTTCCAGAAAAATAAAGATTAAGAGAGAATTTCATGTTGAATCTTAACATATTGATTTAATTTTATTTAATATCAAAATCTATAACACCTTCCTTTGGTAAAAAAAAAAATAATGACATGAAAAATATTATATATTCCATGTTATTACCTGGAATTCGTCGATAAAAAGCAAACACGTCAAATCTATCTGCTTTTTTAAATTAAAAGGGAGGATAGGTATAAAGAACGGTAAAGTTTCAATTCGTTCATTCTTATTCTGTCTTCAACAATATTTTCTTTCACCACCTTCAGAAGATTTCAGAGAAAGACCTCATTTTGTTTATTTTTGAGTAAGCATGAAGTATTTTTTTTTTTTGTCTTTCATTTTTGGCTACCCAATATTCTGTATGGGATTTGATTCTGTTTTCAGTTTGGTTTGATTGGCATGTCATGACTCTTCTTCTCTTTGATGAATTTCAATATCTGTTATGTCAACACGATCAGCAAGGTTCTTCATGGTTTCTGGATTGATCCTGTTTTGTTCTGATTCTTCTTTATCATTTGGCATGATCATGATGAAAGAACCGTGGACTTGGTCATTTTGAATGCTGTGATATACTTTTGTTCATTGTCCATTAAGGGTTTGCCAGATTGATATATTGGTTGTACTTTTTTTGTTTCAGAAGAGAATGAAGTTATGTCTTTTTGGTTCTATAGTCTTTTATTTGCTTCTGTTTATGATAACAAACTTTTCACAAATCAGTTTTTCTGTCTGCAAGGACATTAAACAAATCAATGTTAATGTAATCACAATTGTATTATTCCATGATACTGAATTATGGATCTACTGAATCAAAGGAAGGTTGGAGAATGACTTCATTCTATCCTTGAAAAGCTTGGTGTGTTTCAGTATGTCTTATCAGTAAACTGTTTCTAGAAATTATAACTGATTTGTTATTGTCTGGATGTAGGTGCAAAACTGTTTTTCATTGAACCAAGATGAGCAATGTAAAACCCTTAAAACAGCATGAGCAATAAATTGAGACTCTTCTTTCTTTTGGTTACAGGTTGAATCAACATGGCCAATAGAAAAGACGATGATGAGTCTAGTGAGAGACGTATATTTTCACATTTAGGATATCCAACTGCTCCCCCATATCCTCCTCCAACTGGATATCCAGCAACAGGCTATCCTCCTCCAGGAGGGTATCCCCCGACAGCCTACCCTCCACCTCCATATCCACCACCACCCGGAGGGTATCCTCATTCTGGTTACTATTCTTCAGAATATCCACCTGCATATCCACCACCACCAGGAGGGTATCCACCTCCTGGAGGGTATTCTCCTACTGCCTATCCTCATTCAGGGTACCATCCACCAGCTTATCCTCCGTCACATGGTTATTCACATGCTCTGCCTCCATATTTTGCAGGTACACTCATCAATACCAGTTATTACGGAGATTATTACGACTAAGACAGGAAAATCTTTAATTTCCCTTTACAAAATAGAATTTAAATCCTCATTAATTAAATCTTTAATTTCCCTTTACCATACAAAGTAATACTTTAATCCTCATCAGTTACTTCTACAATTATCCAGAGTCCAAACTGACTGATATGGCTAAGGGAAACCACAGATAGCAGATGATAATGTACCACCACCTAATGTTCATTAAGGATAGGATATACTTCTACAACTTCATAGATAGGGTACCACCGCCAACCATACATTACTTACAAATATTAGCATAGGATAAATTTTGACAACTTAGTAGATAGGGATCGCGCGAACGCATATCCCCATGTCACAAATTGTGACGTAGGAACTGTCCAGACAGACAGACCTTAGAACAGAACCCTCCTATGTGCAATGGAGACTACTGTTCTAGATCATGAGCCTTTATGATCACTCATAATCCCGTCCAGGTAAGTGAGTTGTCTGGTCCCACAAGCATAGATTTTATACGTCATGCCCTTTACTACTCTAACTAGATATTTAAATGTGGGACTTGATACATTTATCAGTAATATCTCTGCTATTTAAGTGTTTTTAAAAGAAGTGTCTTCTTGGTTTACCTAAAAAAATACCTCAATCGTCCTAACCTCTAACAACAAATATAACACTGAATCAAGCACAAATGTCGATCATTTTTAGTCCAAATGTTTTCTACTTGAACTACCATGGAAGGGTTGTTCAGATAAATAAATCAGCAGAAAAGTTCAATTTGAAGGATTATAATAAACTCGGAGTTAAATAGGGAAAAAGACATTATTTTGTTGAGAAAAATAATGGCTTTTTGTGCCGGACATGGATCAAAATAAGCCTGCAACTAACATAAAATACACACTAAGTTGTTGAGAAAAAATTGTACAAGTAGTGAATTATCAAATGAGAACAGAGAGTGGTATCCATTTGTTGTTATTATATTGTGTTCTTACCTGGTGAAACAGGTCTTTTCCCTGAAACCAGTTACAAAATGAGAATGGTTTAATCAAGTAAGCTAACTCACTACTGACAGACACCCTATCTAAGACTGCTCACATTAAACCTTAACAAATTAGCAATGCTAACAAAAGAATATCACAAAAATACATATGACACACTTTGAAGAATAGAAAACCTGTCACAAATATGAATTTCAACAGACATTAGTCTGCATGCATATTGTGATATATTACTACAAGCTTTCTTGAGAGACGAGAGAAGTCGAGTCATATTATCAGAAGGGCTGTAAAAAGCATTTAGAAGACAATCTTTGTTAACACGGTATCTCAGTGTTTACAAAAGATAGCATCCTATTCATACTTCACTTTAAGAGGCTTGTAAAAAATAATGGAGATTTTATGTTCATAAAATTGTTCAGCAAAAGACAAACATACTTCAAGAATATTGATACTCAAGAATGTATAAAAAACTGGGTTTTGAATTTGATAGTTTCCTGTTAGGACATATTTCAATTGTTGTTCACGAAACCAATTGTTTGGACATATTCACGAAACCAAAAAAAGCTTCCATTAAAATTGTTGTACTTGTACTCATAGTTTTGAATCTGTGCTTGCTTTCAGAGTTGACCAATTTTAGAACAGGGAAAACATATTAACTTTTGTCTTTACACTAAAGAATTCTCAATAATTGACCCCAATTAGACAACATAAATTCACATAGCTGTATTTACTTCAAGTAGAATGTATGGATCAATTGACTAGTTTTAAATAGGTGCAAAAATAACCTACTTTATCTTAATTAGTGAGACAAGGTTTTTATTGTTGCTGTTGCTAAGGTCTAGAGTGTCTAACCTTTTTCTACGTAGGACGCGGGTCTGGCATGGGAGGATTGTTGGCAGGGGGTGCTGCTGCTGCCGCCACGGTTTATGGTGCTCACCATTTGGCACATGGATATCATCGTTATGGACATGGTGGTTACTTTGGTCACGGAAAGTTCAAGCATGGGAAGTTTAGCAAGCGTTGGAAGCATGGAAGGTTTGGATTTGGCAAGTTTAAGCATGGTTGGAAAAGGTGGAAGTGATATGAAGTGGCCATCAATGTATTAAATATGTAATTCTGAGCTAGGTCATGAATTTAGTTGTGGGGTGAATAATGTATGCAACGACAACATATTGCATGTTTGCTATCACTACTTTATTTATGAGGATTATTGGTCGATGTTAATATCCTTTGTGGAAATGTGAGTGGCTTATTTTGTACATGAAAGATATCCATCATCCTAGATTTCGTTGATTGTTTTCTTACTATTTTTTTCTTCATCATGGTCTTAGTTGAGATAGCAGTTCAGTGAATTGGACCTAAATGTCGTAACTTGTAACATAACATGTGTTCTTCTTGAAGTCTTCGTAAAAGAGGATCTTCGTAAATCAAATGAGTCAGAGATTATCATTATATGACATGTATGTGCAGTTACTTTGTTGGATTTAAACATCTTATGTGAAATAATAAAAATTAAACTTTTCACAGTCCTTTTAGTTTTGTATTCATGCATACAGTCCCAAGATATCCAATCACATAGAGAATACAGCCTTCAACGCTAGTTTATTAAGGAATGAGAGAATCAACCTGTTAAATATTTTTATCAAACATCTCATACTATCTAATATAGACCTTCAATAATACACAAACCCCTAAAGAGACCTTGAACATATAGCAATTCCTGGTAGCAAACAAGTGGCAACTTGTTTTACAGCGAGCTGTTGTTCATTTATGATTGCTACAGAGAAAACCACACCTGTATTTTCGTTTTGGCCTAATCACAATTCCAATCTTCTATTTTTTGCTCTCTATTTTGCTTCTGCATATCACAACTAGGACAAGAACAGCCTACCCTCCACCTACATATCCACAACCTCCTGCAGGGTATCCTCATTCTGGTTACTCTCCGTGAAAATATCCACATATTGTTTATCTCTCCATATAAGAATCATTCTGCAGATGATCTGGCCCCACAGGGCTCTTTCTCAAATCATCCACATTATTCACAATAACAAGTTGAATAAGCTTTAAAAACTGATAGCAAAATACGGTAGTATTATTTCAAACAAGAAACAACTATTTTCAGTATAACCTATAAATTAACTATAATATATCGGCTACCGAATATTAATAACATAAAAAAACAACAAGATACATCTAAAACAGAAGCTAACAATAGTGAATAGAATAGAAGCTAACAATAGTGAATAGAAAGTTATTATCCTAAAACCTGTAATAAGATACAAATATCGGAATATTAAAACCATGATATTGATCATAAGATGCATTTTATAAAGATGCAAACAAAATATCGTAATCAATTATAGAAAATGTAATAATAAAATAATTAAACTGATTGATAGGGGCTGCGCGAACGCAAACCCCTTGCCACAAATTATGACGTAAGCTCTGTCACTTGGACAGACCTTAGAGAAGCACCCCTCCCATGTGCAATGGAAGACGCCGCCCTAGGCCATGAGCCTTCAAGATCACCCATTGACCCCGTCCAGGTAAGTATGTTACTTGCCGCCACAAGCATTTATTTTATAGCTGATACTCTTTACTCTAACGTATAATGTTTTCAATATGGGACTTTTACCATGGATTTTCCAGCATCCATATAACAAACGAACCACAATGGTTCAAGTAAGTTAGGTCACTACTGACAGTGACAGACGCCTAGGTTTTTGTTACTAATATTAAATCTTCACAAATTAGCAATGCCTACAAAAGAATATCACAATTCTATCACTGGTTTTACTTCATAAAAGTTGTACATTGCCAATGGATCATTGTCACACTGCATAATTTGATTATGCCATGTCACTTAACACAAAATCTAAATACATGTATTTTCATAGTATCGGGAACCAAGTGGAAAAAAGTGAAAAACATCTTTTGCGGGTACCGGAATCAAATTTTCAGCTCAAGCATTTAGATCGGTAAATATTTGTAAAGGAGTTCTCCTAATGTTTTCTTGCTTCTGGTGTTTGCAATCACTTTCCAATCACAATGTGTCCTAATCAAGTCTAGGAAAGAGGGTTTCCATGAAACTAATGAGTCATGAGAAAGATTATTATTATGTAGCTTGTATGTGCAACTAGTTTGTTGAATTATGACACCTTTTGTGGAAAAACAAACACCAGGAATTTGAAGTGCTTCAATGTCTTTAAACAAAGAGCAACACCTAAAACTAATGAGTCATGAGAAAGATTATTACAATTTGCCATGTATGTTCAGCTATTTTGTTCAATTAAAACATCTTTCTGTGGTAAAAAAAAACTAGGAATTTTGAGAGCTTATAAATTGAAGTCTTTCTTCTATCAGCCTTTTGGGGAGCAGGAAAATATGTGCCAAAGATTAATCTAATATAATAACCACCTTCAAGAACAAGCTATTGAGGAAGGAGAACCAAGTAACCAAATACTCTCCTAAGCTTCTCATCAATATCAATGAATCATATCATTCAAAAACAATCATTACAAATTTCATCTAGAAAATAATTCTTAAAAATGGAACCATTGTCATAGCTGACTACTTAAGGAAGCAAAAGAACTCAGCCTTAAAGAGAGGAAACAGAAGAGGAATGACAAGTTTTCTGTTTAACTGGATAATTGTTAAAATTCTCAACAACCACCTGTCTGATTTCAATTAATATAGGGCCGTCAATGATAAACACTGCACTAATGTTTCACGCAGAATGATCCCTAATGGCCTTCAACTACAGAAATTCAATCAAGTCTGAAACCTCAGCAAACAGAAAGAAGTTTATAGAAATTTAGACAATAATGTGTCTAGCAATAAGTACTGTCTTCTACATAAGTACTGAACCAAAGAAGCATATAAATGAATGAAAGAAACACGGGCTTGATGAAAGATCAACTTCAAACAAGGTGGACAGAATATGAACTACTAACAATAATGAGCAAAAGGTGGACATACTCACATGAATGATCGTAGTACCCCTGAGTATGGCTTGGTGCACAATTTTTTGTCTGTTATACATATATATTATTCAGAAATTACATAAAATTAACATTAATATAAACATTAAATTTTTAACTTGATAACATAAAATAAAATTACAAGAAGCAGAACCTGTGTTTCATCAGATTATAGAGAAAGCACTTACAATTTCCATTTCAGGAAGCATGGAGTAACAATGATTTCGTCTCTTTTCTTTTCATACTTGGCAACCAAATCCTATGTGTGGTAATGTGTTCTAGTTTCTGTTTGGTTTGATTGACATGGTATGATTCTTCTTCCCTTTTTCTTTGATAAATTTTAATGGTATAAGTATCAGCAGGGTTCTCCATGTTTTTTTTATTGTGTAATATTATTTCTTTCTTTTCATTTCTTTTTTTGTTCAGATTCTCCTTTACCCTTTGGAATTGTATGATGAAAGAATAACGGGTTTAAACTTTGATAGATTCTGAATGTTGTGATAAACCTTGTTCTTCTTTATCCTTTAAGGGTTTGCTAGATAAGATATACTGTTTGTACTTGTTTCAAATGGGAAGGAATAAGAAACATGAGTAGCTGAAAATGAAGTATTGTTTTTATTTTTGTTCTTTAATCTTTTTCTCAATGCTGTTTGGGTTAAGTTATAAACTTCTCACAAATAATTCTTTTTATCTGCAAGGAAAGTGTAGAAATCAGTTCTCATATAAGAACAATTTGTTTGTCTATGATCTTGAATTATGGACTTACTGGAAGAAATGTAAGCTTTATACAAGCCACGGTGAAGGAATAGCTTCGTTTTAATAACTTACATGTGATGTTTCTAGAAATTGTAACTTGCCAGTGGTTGAATGTCAATGTGAATATAAAATTGTTTTTCACTCTCAGTTGAATCAACGTGAGCAATTTAAGATTCAAGAATCAGATAATCAGCATGAGCAATAAATTAAGACTCTTTTTATCTTTTTGTTGCTGAATACTCTACCTGCATACCCACCACCACCAGGAGGGTATCCTCTCTTACTATCATTCAGAATATCCACCTACTGCTAATCCTGATTCAGGGTAAGCCAGCTTATCCTGCCCCACATGATTGTCCACCTGCTCCACCTCCATATTCTGCAGGTACACTTCAACAAAGCTAATGTTAATGTAGAGATTATTATGTTTATGTCTGAAACAGCATTTTATCATTTTCCACTATCATGTCATCAACATTCAAACAATAAAAATTGATGAAATTTTTAGATGATCAAATTTCATATACTGCTATTAAACTGATTTCCAAATCAAATTTTAATGTTATTTTTCAAATAAACAGTACTCCACTTTTATTTTATAATTTCCTAGGCATTCAGGTCTATCGAAACCTTAAAAGTTTCCTTCTCGTACCCTTTTTAACTACCTACTAATCATAAATTACTGAGAATTTACCTTCATAATTACCTAGCAGTCAGAAATTACTTAGAATGAAATTTAATAATTATTTCAAATGTCAACAAACCTGAATATTCTCAGAAAATTAACTTCCATAATAATAAACATATACAGGTACTAAACAGAAAAATGTACGTTGACTTGAAACAAATTACAGACACGTGTACAAATAAAGTTTAATGAAACAACTAAAATATATGTAGAGACTGTACACATACAAAATTATTACTGTTGGAACCCTGTAATTGATCTGACATCGGTATGAACTTAGTCTAGTATGAAGCTAGACTACAATTTTCATTTTAAATATGCAAACATTGAACAGTTGAAGATGTTGATTAATACAAAATTTAAATTATTACTATATCAGATTCAAGAGATGATAATTGTTATGACCGACAATACAAGGGCCGCGCGAACGCAGGCCCCCTCTGCAACAAATTTTGACGTAGGCTGTGCCACTTGGGCACACCTTAAAACAGCACCCTTCCAATGTGCAATGGAAGTCACTGCTGTAGGCCATGGGCCTTCGTGATCACCCATAGACCCCGTCCAGGTAAGTATGTAAAACAGCGTCACACACATTAATTTTATATCTTACGCTCTTTAGTACTAGGTTTAAAATTGTCGATGTGGGACCTTTCACACTTATAGCTCTGCTCATATTTGAAAGAAGCATTAATGTCAATCCAAATACTTCCAACATGTAACAGAATATACCAGTGAATCAAGCAATCACAAATGTCAATCTTTTTAATCCAAATGTTCTTCTCTTAAACTGTCATAAAATGGTTGTTCATACAGAACAAATCAGCAACAAAGTTCAGTTTTAGTTAAATTTTTGAGAGAAAGGAAAGTGACTGTACTACGTTGTAAATTATGTCATTAATTAACTCAGAATGTAGAATAAGAGCATGTTTGTATTTGTCCACGAAAATATCATCTATCGCCAAAACCACGTCAATCAATCCAAAATACGTAGAAGCTATAATTTCTGGTTTCTGCAAGACGAGGATCAAGATGAATGCTTTATTTGGTTACATGGTAAAATGTATAGTGTAACAATATTAACAAATTAGTATTTCTATTCATACTTTAAGAGGCTAACATTGGAGATCATATGTTCATAAAATTGTTGAGCAAAACAAAAACATACTTCAACTGCTACCATCGCTAAATAGTGCAATCTTACATCCCTCCTACTTAACTGTTCTATTTTCTAGTGTTCTGGATATAAGAGAAAATGCAAAAACTAAAAAAGAATATGAATGGGTTAAGATCACACCCTCCCTCAGTCATGAAGAGGCCAAATTTACTGAGAACAGAAACAGCTTCAGAACAAAAGAACATTCAGTGTATGCAGAGATTGAGTTATCCATGTTGGAAAGATAGTGCACTTAGTGCAAAAGTAAATGACACGAAGCTCTGAAAGCAACATAAAAATAAACAGCAGATACCTTCATACCAAGTTTTTATAACTAATTCAGTTGTGAACAGTAGACTAAATTGGAGTCTAGTCAGAGTTGGGAGAGGGGTTTGTAGACTTCATTGGATAGATTCTGGACACTCTCAAATTGCCCTGAGTTGTAAACATTCTCTTTCTCTTGGATCATATCAATCTAGTAATAAAACTCACATTCTTTCTTTTCACCTTGTATTGAATCCTTAAATTCCCCAATTACTAGTTGATTTGTCAGATCCCTATACATCAACGCTTAACATTAGAACATTTCCATTTAAGCCAACAACAGCTATACTGGAAACACTGATTCTAGCCCCTGGCTTGACTAGATTCTATAGCACACAAATACCACATTAATTTCTCAAGTTAAAGTTAGTCCGCACACCTCTTCATCCATCCAGGACAAGATTTATTTAATAAGATGATGCATATTTCATACAGACATTGCAAGGATAAATATCAACACTATGTTTATACAACCCAAATTTTCAACATTTCCCCATAAATTTTGAGGAAGCAAAGAAGGCCTTTCATAATCTTCAGATGATTTAATTGTTGAAGGATTTTGATCATCTTCAGCTTTGTGAAACTTTTGAGAAAGGGATGTCAAAAGAAAAAGCATTTGACTGATGCTATAGATAGTTTTCTACTTATCCGAAAAGAGACCCTCTATGTCCTTAGAAAATCCTTAAAAACAATCAGAAGGTAAATCACAATGACCAACATCAGCAATAGAGTTGTTACCCTGTACATTATGAACATCATTCTCACAGGCAATGAGACAGACATTACTAACAAACCATGAATTTGGTTTGAAGATATCTTCAGAAAGTCCATGACGATTTGAATGAGGATAAGGAAGCAGCTGAAGAGGAATCACACCAAATTCTGTTAATGCATTCGCTAATAGTAATTTGCAATTATTCTTGACACACTGAAATGCACTGAGATAATCAAAGAAAGAAGTTGTTGGGGAAAAAGCACCAAAGTTTGGCAGATTCAATAAAGACTGGAAAAACTCTCTCCAATATCGGTTAGATAAATCAGGAAAGGTTGATGCTAAAATAAAAATAAGCCCATGTTGTATTGATTCCTTTCTCTAAAGAACTGTGCCCGACCTCACTATATAGAACAATTGTATGGTTATGTTCCTACTTTTCTGAAAATGAAGAAGCTGAATCTCCAAATACTATTTTGCTTTTTGATACAGCAATGGCAGGATCAAGAAAAGGTTCCAAGATCTCCACAAGAAAGAGGATCTTGTGTTTGACTTCCTGGAAAATGCATATTAAATAGTTTTAACATTATTTCGCTCTTCTTTTTTGTTTGTTAGGAAAAATGAAAAGCAACATCTTCACGGATGAAGAGTTCAATTATTCATCACCTGCAAATCAATAAGGATATAATGTAAAGATAATGAAATTAAAGAAGAAAAGATTTATTTACCGATGAGATGTCTACACTTCTTGGAACTCTCTGTTAGAGTTTATATAGAAGAGAGAGGAGAGAGACAGAATTGAAGCAAGAATATTTGATTTCTCATTGCATTTAGAATTCTCTTACAATAAATATTACATAGCTACTGGTAGATTGATCTACAAGAACAGAAACAGTTACAACAGGCTAAACTAACTGAAAACTAACTCAGGTAGCTTGATCTACACTCCATGATAGACCAGTGAAGGAAACCCACACATTTGGAGTTAAATTATTCAATGAAATTACATACCAGATATAATCATCTACATCCTTATTATCGTTCAAATGTGCAAGTGCATTTTCTATTGAAGGAATTAAAATGTATCTCATTGGAATTTGTTTTTGGATTAAGACTAAGAATTCTATTCCACCAATTTATGAATCTCAATTCGCTCAAAAAGTGCATCCTACATTTATGATACATTTGTCCCTTGTCATAAAAATTATAATTTCTATGAGCTTCAGTTCATTGCAACAAAAAGATTATATATAAATGCATCTGCTAACAATAAAATAATAAGTAAAGACTTTGACTAAAATTTCAATGTTATCGTTTGATATTCAAATGAAATATATATACAAAATATACTGTCACACAATGCCATTTGACTAGTCCTAGCCTAGTCCAATTTTGATTTGCCACATATGCAGATCAGATACAACTAAGCTTCACTTTCCTAAATGACATCAGTAGTCTTCCTCGTGCAAACCTTTTGCCAGTAGCAAAACTTGTTGATCCACTACCATGATTAGACTACCAACTTGTAGAGTCAGGTTGCTCATGCTTCTGCAGGAACCCATAACTCCCATCTTGTTGCAAACCCATGTCATAAACTTCAGAATTTGCACCTTTACCTCTTGGTGAAACATACTCTGAAGTCCTGTTAGTATACTTTCCTCGACTTTTGCCTCTAATGGAATTAGCCCCTCTCTGTTTCCTGACAGAACCAGCTCCCCCTGAATACAAATCATTTGCCCCATCAACATTCTTGGAGAAAACCCTCCTTCCACTTCCCCTACTTCCCAACCTGCCATCAAAATTTGCTCCATTCCTCCCAAAATTCGAAGATCGAGGAGAATGCTCTCCACCATCGGCCCCATCAACACCCATCGCAGCGTTCTTAGTTCCATTTGGATTCCTCCTCATTCTTCCATCGACATTCAATCCATTCCTTTGATAATTCAATCGAGAAGATCGCCCTCCATTGCCAGACCTACCAACATCATCAGACAAAAGCCTCCTTCCATTCGCATTTCTTCTCGATCTACCATCACCATCAGCTCCATCCCTCCCATAATTCAAAGGAGAAGATTGCTCTCCACGGCTAGCCTGATCAACATTTGCAGACAAAGACCTCCTTCCTTTCCCATTCCTTCTTGATCTACCATCACCATCCACTCGATAACTCAGTTGAGAAGACTTCACTCTATCTCTACCAACATCATCAGACAAAAACCTCCTCCCATTCCAATTCCTTCTCAATCCAACATCATCCTCACCCTTCACTCCATTTCCCCCATAATTCACATCAGAAGATGAAAAATCTCCATCATCACCTTCCAATTCAAACGCATCAACATCCTCCAACAAAGCCACTCTTACATCCCCATTTCCCATTTCACTCAAACCTACACCAAATTCACTTCTATTCCTCCCATTCCCCTTTTCACTCAACTTTCCACCAAACTCAATCTCCTTTCCTTCATTTCCCTTTTCACTCATCTTATCATCAAAATCACTCCCCTTTACCAAACTCCCTTTCCCATCAACCCCCCCCTCTCCATCCACATCATACCCTCCCTTCACCAGCCCATACCCATCAACTCTCCTATAAGGCTTCACACTATGCACCACCCCTTTGGGGAAAAACCTAGCAGATGGCAACTCATCAGGGGTCTCAAACAACACAGGTCCATCTCTCTCACTCCACATATCAAACCCACCAGGCCTCTGAAACCTGTCGGCAAGAACCTTCACCTGCTCATCAGCCCCAACAGAGAACAAATTGGGCGCCGCCGCCGCTCTCTGCACCACTTCCCACGGCCGCTCCAGCTCGGACACCGCCGCCTTCAGCTCCGCCCGCTTCCGCATCTCGTATATCTGCCGCTCCCGGCTCAGCCGCGCCTTGAGCAGCTGCTTCGCCTTCTTCGCCTGCATGCGCTTCCACACCCACTTTGACACGCCACCCGGGTACGTGCGGGGACCCCCGCCCATACGAATTACGGTGCTCACACGCGCGGGAGGATTGGGAAGGACTTGGAGGGTTTTGATGGGGTTGTGGAAAAAGGAGGATTGAGAGAATGAAAGGTGGTGGTGTTGTGGGAGTAAAAGGTTCATCTTGGGTTTGGTTTGAAATGCCCCACAAACAACAAGAACAGATTTTGTTAATAAAAATCAAATTTTTTATCTGAAACGTGAAGAAAATGTTGATCAGTGGAGAAAAGTTTGAGAATTGGATGCTTGTTTGGAATGCAGTGCAAGGACAAATCCCTAATCTTCATTCATTCGTGTTCATTCTATCATGTCCTCACATAGTGTTATCCTTTGCTGCTTCTGCGAGTGAAACTGAAGCTCATACGGCTATGCTATGTTACTGTTAATCCATGTATGGTTGCATTTTCATGAATCATATTTTCTCCAAGTCTAGATATTAGAATATTTTGAAACTTTTTGTGTGTGTGTGTGTTTGGTTTGGTCTTCTATGTTCTTTTACAGTGGAAATTTAGACATAAGTTTTAAGGACTTTGATGAGTTAGTTAGAATAACTGAGTAAAAGTGTTTTTGACTTCATAAAACTTCGAATAACATGTAAGTATGATTGTTGTTTCTTTCAAACTATAAATGGTAAATAATGATTTATTTACATTTTATTTTCACTTTTTATTTTAAATTATTCTTTTTTGTATATCAATTTATATTTTACATAATCTAGAGTATAATTTATTAGTATGACATTTAAAATATTAAAAATTTTGTATTTTTTTATGTAGTTAATTAAATGTTATTGTTGTTATTTTGTAGTAGAAATTTATATTAAAAAAACAAATTATTTTAAATTTTATAATTATTTTACATATTTTATATGGAACAAGATAAGATTATTTTATCCATCTTTATTTACAACAACTTTTTAAAAATAAAATTATGAAAACAAATAGTAAAAAAAGTTTTAGTTTTAAAATTTCAAAACTTAAAACTAAAAATTACCATGGATATTTAATTGTTATATATATACAATATCTCTAAGATAAAATAGATATTAAAATATTTAGTTGTTATATATGATTTCTCAATGATAAGATTGACATTAGATTTTATGTGTTTAAAATTTTATTTTAAATAAAATATACTATTAAATTATAGTATAAGAGGTAGTAAGATTTACTTCTCTATTAAATTATAATATTTAATTGTTATATATATATATATACAATATTTCTAAGATAAAATAGATATTAAAATATTTAGTTGTTATATATGATTTCTCAATGATAAGATTGACATTAGATTTTATGTGTTTAAAATGTTATTTTAAATAAAATATACTATTAAATTATAGTATAAGAGGTAGTAAGATTTACTTCTCTATTAAATTATAATATAAGAGAAAAAATTTACCATAATATTTAATCATTTATCAATGTATAATATATAATGTTAAGGTTCCAACATATAACAATTAGCAATATATGGAGTAGTCTAATATATATTTAAATCATACAAAATAATATGAGGTAGGCGATGTAAGATCGAAAGTCTATCATATCGAGTAAAGAGTACTTTTGACACAACTAAAGGACAATTTTTGACCCGTGATAATAATTGAAAAGATATAGACTTTAGTTCTGATACCACGTAAGCGTCCAAGAAATATTTTGATAAATAATAAAACGATTTTGATAAATGATAAAATCGAAAATATGGACAAAGAAAAAATGAAAGAGGGAAGCAAAGGACAGAAACAGTTTCCTGAGAGGAATGCACTTTTCGAAAATGAGCTCAATAATTTTTCTGATGATGATTCTACAAAGAAAGGGATTTTAGATAGTACTACCTTTCTTCTAAACAAGAAACCATATCAACATCAAAAAGGTATTTTGATGAAGGATAAAACTGAGGTTGTGGACAAAGAGGAAATGGAGGAAGGAAGGAAAGGAATGAAACAATTTACTGAGAAGAATGAACTTTTAGAAAATGAGTTCAATAATTTTTCCAATGATGAGTCTGCAAAGGAAGGAAATTTAGATAGTACTGTCCTTCTAAACAACAAACTACATAAACATCTTCTGCTTCATGCATCTCATCAAGTATGCAACCGAACTTTAAAAGAACTTTCCAGTATCAAGTAACTCAAGAGAATAGCACTGGCGAGACTTTTAACATATAATCTTATTTTATAAATTATTTTTTATGATTGAATTATATATTTTTAGTTTAAATATTTATATTATTTAAAAATTAAAAAATTCAATAAATAATTGGTTTTGTTTCTGTTTTTTTTTTTTTAAGTTTTAAACATACCTTTAATATTTATAATACAATATAATAAGACAATCCCAATTATTTTAACCTAAATAATATTATATTAATGTTAGATAAGTTTTGAATTTGGTATAGCATTATTTTAAAGTTGAATTAAATTTATGGACACAACCCCCTCTCCCTCTATTATCTCCTAATTATGTCAATACCTTCACCAACCTTCCACCTAAAAAAACTATCTTTCATCAAATAGGAAGACCCTAAAACTACTCAGGAAACTATTATAGGTGATAAAATAAAATTAAAAAAAAAAATTGGCATAAGAAGCCAAACAAGTTCATGAATGGTGTTGCCACAACTTTTACTTACACCAAGATAGAAAATCTAGGGAGTAATTTAGCGTAGAGGACTCAACTATGGGTGTGTAAAAGTACTAAACAAAGTAGGGTTCCTCAAGAGTTTAGGCCTCAAACATTTTCTTCACCCAATGTATTGTTGCTTCTTTGGACATGTGTGAGAGAGCCATGTGAAGATTTGAAACCTAGCTTTCTTACCTAAAAAATGTTTTCTTTTTCTTTTATTTCAAACTTGACACAATTTTACATAACATTTTTTGCTTCTTTGGATCTTGTATGTGTAAAAGGCACGTGATGATTTTAAACTTAGTTTTCATACCTAAAATAATTTTTTAAAATGGTAGAATGATATATATATATATATATATATATATATATATATATATATTAATTTTAAGATAAATATGTTATTTATTTAGTATATATTAAAATTAATTTAATATTTATTTTAAGAATGTTGATATTTTGATACGGCATAAAAAATAAAAACAATCATTCAATAACCAATTTTTAGATTTTTATATCATTATTTATTTATTTATTTTCGTCTTTTCTCCATCCATTAATCAAAATATTATTATTTTAAAATTATCTATATTTATAAAAACAAGATGTTAAAATATTATTTTTCTTATTTGAATTAATTGATTTTTTTAGTCTTTTTATATTTTTGTGATAGTAAAGAAAATATTATCTTGTAGTCAATTTTTTAATTTTATTGTAGTGAAAATTATCACTAAATATTAAACGTAAATATTAAAATTAGACTAAAATCACACTTTTTTTTAATTAACAACCGAGTTCATCAAAGTTTAAGATAGAACGAATATGACAATTTTGAAAGCAAACAAAAACAAATTTATAGATAACATTTAAATTTAGAATATTTACTTGAATAACAAAACTACAATTATTTTATTTTTTAACAATGGTCAAAACTAAATAATTAAGTTTAGGAGAATTATTATTATTAACTAATCTTTATTTTTTGAATAAAAGAGTACTAAGTGAGGGTTATATTATACAGTGAGACAAGATGCTTGTAACTAGAATATGCACTTATTTGGGCAAAAAAATAATAAAATAATTTGAATATGCACTCATCCAAAACAACAAAAGATTCTTCGAGAAAAACTAAAATTAATGTAAACAACTTGCAATTTAGATTTAAATTTTTCTTTTCAATGGGCATTAACAGAAGTCAAAACCAAACACTTTCACATTCAAGTTTATACCTACCAAAACTATATTTTATGGTAGTCAATTATACACAAAGCGTCAAAGATCGAAGAAGGAATCACTAGAAGATGTTGATTAAACAATATAAAATAACACATTAATAAAACTCAAAAAATGGATGGTTTAGTTTAATTAGGTCTAATCTAGAAAAAACTTTTATTTTAAAACAAGTTATAAATTTTAGTTTAATCTAATTTTAATAAACTGATTTTGATCTGATTAATAATAAAAAACATTTTTAAAATTAAAGTTATATTAATAAAATAAGATTTTATCTAATAATTAATATATAAATTATAAAAAATGTTTATTTAATCTCAAAGTAAAATTATAAATTTATTCTCTATTTTTATCATTATTTTTTTAAGTAATTTTAATTTAAAATAATAATAAATCTTAATTATTATAAATAATTATTAAAGATTTACTTTAATATTTATTGTTAAAACAAATAAACCTTATCAAATTAATTTATAATATATATATTTTTAATAAAATAATATCATTTTTATTTTTATTTTTAAAATGATTATTATTTTATAGAATTAAACAATTCATAAATTTATAAACTAATCTACATAGATCTTAAAAACGGAGTAAAATATAAATATTATTTAATTTAATTCATAATTTTTTTATCTAAGCTTGTAACGACTTTAGAAATTGCTACTATAATAATATTTTTGTAAAATAGTAAGTAAGTAAATAACAACATTTATATTACATTATATTATTGTAATTGTAATATAGACTGAAATCTCGGTTCATTGACGGAACCTCAAAACATAGTAACATAATTTATTTATATAGATACATGCAAAAGTAGCTCCCACAAAGCTACCCCACTGAATTATCTCTGTTGTCTAGTAGTCGCATCTTCATCTCTTAACTCCTGATCTGCTCCCACATAAAAGTGATCATCGCAGTCTCATCCACATGGAAAAATTGGCGTAAGTATTAAATCATTCGATATAATAAAACAGATATAGGAGTAATAATTACATATTATCATCAATTACAAATTATCAATACACTAAGACGTCTTCTGGAAGTCTACCCTAACTATGCTCAAACTTAGAGACTATCATCTGTGGGCACATTGTGATCGGCACCCGCAATACCATTCTGACCACCCTCCACACAGAATAGGATTACTGGTGTCCTTCATCACTCATACTGGAGTACCCCTCCGAGCGCGCCACCAGTCATCCCCTATCGACTTTTCACCACTTGATCTCGTAATCTACCTGACCCAATCAA